AATATATATGTCAAGGACTAATATGTAAGCTACCAAATTCTCGAATTTCGTCCTTCTAACTTTATTAGTTTTAGATAAAAAAAATTTGCACTTCTTTTTATAAGGTATTGATAGCAATGCGGGACTTTATGGGAAAGAATCCAGTCATAGCCAAAGGCTTCTCCAAAGGAGATGAAGTGGGTCTTGAGGAAAAGGGCCTCCTTTTTACACTTCAATTAATGTAAAAAATCTAAAAACTTTAATAAAATAAGATACAATTGAAACAACCCCAAAAACCTTTTACTGGATACGAACCTGAACTGTACAAATCAGTTTGATTGAAATTATATTTGTTTGATTACTTTACTAGTGGGTCGCGACCCACCGGTTGGGAACCCCTGTTCTATACGATCACGGATCACACTCTTACTAAACATAATATACCTTTAGGCGCAAAGCAGCTGCTGTGCAATAATCACCTGTACAGGAATGCCTTGGCAGCAAAGCTATTGTAAGGCAAAAGCCAAATGTAAAGGAAATGTGTGCACACTTTTGATAGATTACATTTACTTACAACACACACACAGCCACAAAAGCACTACCCGTTTTAAAAATGCTGCTTAGACACACACGCCGCTTTACAAACTGGCATGTGACCCGCGCAGACGAAAAAAAAATCCTTAACACTTTATGTCTCTGTGTATATAGCTTATGCAATGCTAACACAAGCAACTTATTACATATAAACGTTGATTTTTATCTTTTTTTTTATTGTAAAATGTTTTATGCGATTTTATATAGTAGAAAATATTGAAGAGTTGAAATGCAATTAGTACGGAAGAGATTGAGAAGACAAGCAAACGCAAAACAGGTATAGTGCTAAAACGAATAAAAATAAACTTAAAATAAAATGTAAAAAATGCAAAACCAACAAATGTGTATAACAAAAACCCACCTAAAGCCAATAATTAAGTGAAATTCATAGAACGATGAAGAAGCGGATGACGAAGAAGTAGCAGCGCAGGCAGTAGACAATGTCGATAATATGTATGTACATATGTGTAGTCTATATATAAAAATCACACGCAACCAAAAATCCACAAAAACAACAACAACAAATTAATTAAGTCAACTACACACTCACAACCACACTCACAAAACCAAAAGAAAATGGAATATTGACGACTACCAAAAAAATGTATATCCTTAGTAAGCACCACCTTAAGCCCCAATTAGTATGTGAAGCAAAAGTAATAGGACAAATAGTTTAAAAAAATAGTTAATAGTAAACAAAAACAATTAGAAGAAACGAACGCACGTAGCAAAAGCCAAACAAAATGAATGATAGACAAGTAGGCAAAATATTTGAAGCAACGCAGGAAATGCGAAATTTCTTCGAAATATCCAACCAAAACAAAAAACACAATCGGCGCGTTGTAGCACAAGAAAAACGTAGCTACAATTAGAAACCTCTATTTAAACAAATAGCGTAAATACCTTTAACAAAAATCACACGCACACAAATTTTAGTACGCACTGCACTTTCAAGAATATCGAAAAAAAATCAAGCAAATTTCGCTAAAACGCAAACATTCGCTACAAAAGCAATTTAGCAAGCAAACAAGCTATAAGCAAGTATTAACTAAAATGTATTTGCAAATATCTCTCACTTGGTAAACGAGTTATAAACATTAATTGAAAAAAAAACTAAACTTAAAACTCTAAATACATTAATCAGCAGCAAAA